CATCCAGCACATTTACAGATTGCATGGGGCAGACCGAGTGGGCGGACTTTTGAAGAAGTTGCCTACAATAATGCAGTCCACTCCAGCACAGGTTACACTCCTTTTTAAATAGCCACCGGTCAAAGTTTCAACCCCATGCCAGAATTAACCCCAAACGAACCAACGATCCCATCACTGAAAGAATGGATGGAAAAACTACAAAACACCTGGCCAATAGTTAGAAAAGCACTAGATGAAGCTAGGCAGGCATACAAAGCACAAACCGATAAAAAAAGGATTGAGCCTACACCATTCATTATAGGTGAAATGATGTACCTATCTACAAAATACCTGAAGTCCCTACAACCATGTAAAAAACTTGGACCAAAATATATAGGGCCTTTTCCAATTAAAAGGATCATAAACCCAGTAACAGTAGAATTAGAATTACCAAAAAATCTCAGGCAAATACACCCAATTTTTCATTGCAGCTTGCTGAAAAGAGAGCATCAGTCAGCTTTACGACCAAAAATTACCCCATCACCACCTCCACTCATGGTAGAGGGCGAACAACACTTCGAAATAAAGGAAATCCTAGACTCTAGGAGATATCATGGAACAACTCAGTACCTAGTTGCCTGGAAACACCTCCCTGCCTCACAAAACGAGTCGGTCCATAAACGTCATGTCAGAGCCCCAAAGCTATTAAAAAAGTTTCACAAAGAGTATCCTAAGAAGCCTGACTAACTTTTACACCTGTTTTGTTTTCTTTCAGGTGGATCTGTCTTATTTTTGAGGGGCCGGATGACAGAATCCAATTATATTTCATCTCTAGTTATCAAATATAGAAAACCCCAATTCTGCCTTCTCTGGATTCTGCCATAAGAGGGAGAGAAGGGGGTGAACAAAGGGGCTTTATGGCCCTCACTTCCTTCAGTATACTTCAAAGGAACTGAATGTGTGTATTGCAAAAGAACTAACCATAAGAATGGAACCATTTCCTTTCATGTAGTTTCTTTGAAGTCTCCATCCAGCCAGGCAGTAATGAAAAGGGGGTGGAAGTGTAATGCCCGAGACTGTTGCTGAAAGAGGGGGTTGATTGGGTGGGGCTACTGGGGAACCCCTTAAAACCTTGAATTGGAGAGCTTGGACCCCAAGTCCTGTCTAGAACGCCTGCAACCACTTTCTCTTAATAAAGGATTCCTGTTGGAAGAATTATTCCAAGAGTTCTGTCTTCTTAAGATGCAAAGTGGGGTGGGTCCTTACAGATTATGTATATGTAGGGGTATTGGTCTATACATATGTTGTACATAGTATGTTTAGGTGCGTGTCATGTATGTGTTTTACTTCGAGAGCAGGCAACTAAATTTCATTTTTGATGTGTGCCGTTCTGCCCACAGTAAAAAAAATGACAATAAAGGTTATCTTGTCTTGTCTTGTCTTGTCTTGTCTTGCCTTGCCTTGTCTTGTCTTGTCTTGTCTTATCTTATCTTATCTTATCTTATCTTATCAACACATGTTACTTTTGTACCCACTCTCCTCTGTTCTTTAAAGTGCCTTTTGACTTTGAATCCAAAGCACTGACATCCATACTTCTTAATATGATAAGCCAGCTATACTGCCTTGGGGGCTCACTAATGTAAATCAAGAGTGAATGGTGGAGGTAATGTCCTATAATTGTAGTGTGGTTGTATCTAAATATATTGGAAAACATAAGGTCAGGGCACATAGATTGAATTGTTTGATGGTAACACCCAAAGAGGTCATTAGAAGATAAATATTGAATGCACATAATCCCAGAATGTATATATTAGTGAAAGTATGTCATCTTTCAATCATTTTGTGACATTATGATGATTTTTTTAGGTGGGGAAAATGTAGAAAAGTTATATTTAAACTCTTTGTTACCATATAGTAATTTGATTGGAAGTCTTCTGAAAGTATTCTAGTTGAACTTCTTGGCCAAGGCAGGAATCCTCATACTATCCCAGTCAGATGGCTGTTCAAACTTTGAAAACCTATAATTATGCAGCACTTACAGTCACTTGAGACAGATTGTTCCATTGTTTAATAGCTGCAATAAACAAGGTATTCCTATAGAGAAAAATGAAGATGACCTGAATGGAGACATGCCAGAACCATTATCTTGCCTAAGTCCTGAGGAACAAGATAACATTCAGAAGTGCCTTAGGCCAGGGGTCCCCAACCCCCTCTCCGTGGACCAGTACTGGGCCATGGCATGTCAGCAACAGTCCGCACAAACAAGCAAAGCCCCTTCTGTGGGATGCACACAAAACTACACACCCTCTGTGTCAATGCTGCAAATACTGTATATTCTTGCTTTGACAATATGCAAAACTGTCTGGTAATTACTGGGTTAATACACAGCTTAGAGTGGGGGGGGAGAAAAAGCCCGGGAAAGAAAGAGGAAGTAAACTTTTGACCTTCACACTAATTGGATAATGTGACTTGTGACTGCAAGACAAGGGAGGGGTTTAGCAAGAAAAGGTTGATGCCAGCGACAGGAAATTAGATTCTGGCATCAACCCGTCCATCATGGTGACCGGCAAAATTGTAGCTCTGCAAATAAAGACTTCAGGAAACATGCCTGAAAGTTCTTTGAAGTGCTTCATTAGTCGGAACCTGTGACATCATGCCAGAATCCAACACTCTTTTCAAACGATCTGCGTCCCGAACTCCATCAGCTGCCTCTATGCCTGAGAGGAGCTGGCAAAGTTTCGGGGAAGATCTCATTATGGAGAAAGAAAGATTGCCTGAGACCAGCCCCGTAGCTGCAACAGTTTCCCCGGGGGGGAAAGTGACAGCCAGCAAACCGAAAGATAACCCTTAACATATGCTTTTGTTTACCTACAGGATCTGTCCTTCTTGTAAGGGGGGGCGGATGTCAATGCTGCAAATACTGTATATTCTTGCTTTGACAATATGCAAAACTGTCTGGTAATTACTGGGTTAATACACAGCTTAGAGTGGGGGGGGGGAGAAAAAGCCCGGGAAAGAAAGAGGAAGTAAACTTTTGACCTTCACACTAATTGGATAATGTGACTTGTGACTGCAAGACAAGGGAGGGGTTTAGCAAGAAAAGGTTGATGCCAGCGACAGGAAATTAGATTCTGGCATCAACCCGTCCATCATGGTGATCGGCAAAATTATAGCTCTGCAAATAAAGACTTCAGGAAACATGCCTGAAAGTTCTTTGAAGTGCTTCATTAGTCGGAACCTGTGACATCCTGGTCCACAGAAAAACTCTCTCTATGGAACTGGTCCCTGGTGCTCAAAAGGTTGGGGACCTCTGGCTTAGGCAGATGACTCCCTGATTCACTAGAGAATATGAAGAGCACAAGGTAGAATATGGACTTGCAAGTTCTGTTATATACCATTTTGGTAAAAGTAGTTAATCTATCTTTGAGGCGGAAGTTCTGTCTGTCTACCTCAGTGGTTCTCAAGCTTCCTAATGCCGTGACCCTTTAATACAGTTCCTCATGTTGTGGTGACCCCCAACCATAAAATTATTTTTGTTGCTACTTCATAACTGTAATTTTGCTACTGTTATGAATAGTAATGTAAGTAGAAGTAGTGTATACCTTTTTTAAATGAAACTTATCAGCACTTTTGATCAGTGATGTCATCAAAGTAAACAAACCCACGTGCTGATTATGTCAACAGGTCATGGCTCTAAACGGAAGTGACGTGCTCAGCCCCCACCCTCCGGATGTGATGTTTTGGCCTAATCCCATCAAATTGGCAGTCAATCCTCTGGGTACATGATTAGGTTAACCCTAGACTAATTCTATGGACATTCAAAACCAAAAAGAGCTAAGTAAAGTGAATAATTAGCAGAGGCCTGTGTTTTTGGGAAACAAGCCCTACTTTGGGGAGCTGTGAAATAAAAAATAAAAAAGGCTTTTTATTTCTAATCATTCTAGCCTAACAATGCTTTTAATTTTTGTGGAGTTTTAAAAATCAGTGCCTCAAAAGCTGGGGAAAAAGAAGCCCCTGAAAGGCAGCTAGAGCCTGCATTTAACCCCTTTTTTCCTAAAGGATATTTTTTTCTAAAAGGTATTTATTTCTAGTTGGCTTTAAAAGCATTTCCTCGAATGCAAGGGAAAAAACAAACAAACCACAGCCCCTTTTAAAACCCACAGCTGGTTTTTACCTTTGTAAAAAATCTAAAGACACATATTTTGCCATTTGCACCCTAAATAAAATTTATTCTGCCCCCTTCCCCCCTATAGCAAAAGACAAGGACTATTAACAGAAATTAAAATGCTCACAAGATGCAAGCAGCCAACCAGGCTCACAAGAGGCAAGCAGCCTTGCAATAGGGTTTTAAAACATGTTCAGGCATGTCAGGACCACGATTCCGGACATGCGTGTTTCTGTCTGCCTGCTAGTAAAAAAGGGGGGTTAGGCCTTGTTTGGGACATGCCCGGGCATGTCATGCTCCCCGTGATCTGGTCATGCGCAATGCTCAAGGGCGTGTCATTGCAAGGGGCAGGGGAGTTTGTGCAGGGCAGGGACATGCCCGGACATGTCATGCTCCCCATGATCTGGGCATGCGCAACGCTCAAGGGCGTGTTATTGCAAGGGGCAGGGGAATTTGTGCGGGCAGGCCTGAACAGCGATTTAATCCCAGCAGTCTTTTGAAGATGGCAGCCTCTGATGGAGGTTTGTTTGATGTAAATTTGACCCCCAAACCACCCAAGCGTGGGCGCAGAATAAGAAAAGGACCTGAGTTATACAGTTTCATTGAACAGTGAAACAGAACATATTAACAGCTTATGCTTTAGATTTTCTATGCCTCATGTTGTCTGGATCATCATCAGTATTTATATAAATAACTTATATTTCACCTGGGGTTCCCTTGATGAGCTCAAGACATTCATACAGCATATCGAAAAGAGTCGTGAACCACTGTCATTAATGTCAAAGATTGAATCCGAATTGCCATTGTCTCTGAAGAGATTCATATGCCAAAATGTAACATAAATTAATTACAAGAAGCTCTTAATGCTATGAAATTTATAATAAAATGGGCTTTACAAATCACATGAAAGATGTATTATGTTTTTCTTTTGCTGACCCCTGTTTAACTTTGGCAGATGTTAAACACAATTTAATCAAAGCTCAAGAGGTATTATTCAATTGGGTTTTCCTGATGAAGCAGGGCTGGCCAGATTTGCCAAAGCTGTGAAGAACTCATCAACTCTGATGTGATTAATTTGTAACATTACGTGCTATTTTAATGCAGTTTTGCAAAAGTTGTGAAAAACACACCTCCTCTGATGTGATTAATTTGTGACATCACCAGCGTATACAAAAGCAGGGTCCGTACTGATCTAGTCACATTTGCTGGTTTCTGGCATATCTGTACCTCCGGAGCCATTTCATCTGCTAAGAAGACTCTTTTCAGAATGAAGCCACTATTGTAAGTAGTTTTATGGCTAATTTTTGAAACACTTAGATGCAAAATGGAGTTTTAGAATATTCTTGTCTGCTTGCTTGTTTGACTGATTGATTGTTTTATTTTGCTAGAATGAATTGACAGACTCAGAATGTTTGAGGGCTTATGAAGGTATTTGTCTTTCATACTTTCACACATTTAGATTCTGGTAAACATTTCTGCAACAATTCTGACTATGGGATTTTTCTTTTCCTTCAGAATGGGAGGTTGACCAGCCATTTGCTGATGTTGCTATTGCCATAGAGAACCAATTGACAGACTCAGAATGTTTGAGGGCATATGAAGGTATTTGTCTTTCATATTTTCATACATTTTAGATTCTGGTAAACATTTCTGCAACAATTCTGAACATTGGGGTTTTTCTTTTCCTTCAGAATGGGAGGATGACCAGCCTTTTGTGGAGTTTACATACCCCCAAGGGGCCCAGCATGACAAGAGCCCACCCCAGCCATGCACAAGCTACACAACACGAATGCTGTTAGGAGGTATAATATCTAGCATTTTATCCAACTACAAAACCATTAGTATTACTTTTTAGAAACTAAAAGGGGGGGGGGGGTATTACATTATTAGGAATGTTGGTGATAGCCTTTTGTTTGTTTGTTTGTTTAACCAGAGCCGGCCTGCAAAAAAGCAAAAATGCATGGAAGTGGACTTCCCGCATCCCCAGCAGACAGCCATAAATGTTATTCCATGCCTGCATCTCAATCAGAAGGGGAGATATGTCATTCTACGCCACAGCTACAAGACCCTAACTCTGCAAACTCTCAGAATATGAACAATGTTTATCTGGATATGGTACAGGAATGGGAGAAGCCCATCAGAAATGTCAGGGCTGTGGAATATTATCAACGCTATAGCTTTATTAATCTTGACTGAATCCAGTCTTTTGTAGATGCTATAGAGGCTATTCATAATGTGATACAGACTCTTTTGAATAATGTTGCTAGGGACATAGGACCAAACGATTTTGTTCAACTCCGGCTGGATGCAGAGGGGTTAAATCATCCTCTCTTTTCTCTTAGGTGGAATATGAATGATTTAAATGCTGATGATTTTCTGACCAGTATTGAAAATCTGCTGCAAAGTAAGTCAGAGATATTGTGGGGGGGTAATTTGCAATTAGTGGTTACCGTCATGAAGAACAAGGAGGGGGGAGGTCTTAGGAAGTTAAACATGGTGCTGCTCACCAGAGTGCTGGAGAAAAAAAGACAGCACCTAGTATATTTCAATGTGGGAGGTGAATTTCTGTGATTTGCTAGCTGTTTGCTCTGGCTGATTGGCGGGGATGTTAGAAATCAAGAAATTATTACCAGGGCCAGGGAACTTCACAATAGACTGGGTGTTTCCACAGAAAACAGAATTGACTTTTCTCAGATACACCTCTTTGAAGAAACTTTAAGGGTCACTATAAAGATCTTGTTTTATATGCAGGATGGTTGGCGCTTTTTTGTCACAGGTAGCCCCCAGCAAGAAAAAATAGTGTTTATATTGTTACACGACAAGCATTATTATGGCATCAAAAATATCAAGGGCTTCCTAGGTGAATGCTATTTCTGTAAATTCTGCCACACACCCTACCACCACAAATTTAGTCATGGCTGTGAATATATCTGCAGAGCCTGCCTCAACCAAGAATGCCAGCAGGTGGTGGAGGAGAAGGCACGCTGCTGTAGGTGCAAAGAGCTTTGCCAGTCTAAGGTGTGTCTTGAAAGACACACACAGCTTGCTATGGAGGGAAAAGTTGACTATAAGAATAAAGAATATTGTGAAACGTGTGGGGTTTACGTCTTTAGCCCCCACAAAAAGTGCAAGGAAACCAAGTGTGGACAGTGCTCTGAGAAGGCTGAAAGCTTGGAAGGGCACTTATGCTTTCTAAATTCGTTGGACCAGCCATGAATTTGCGAAAGATACATCATTTATGATTTTGAATGCTGTCAAGAGACAGGCATCCATATACCTAATTATGCCTGTGCCAGGATATGTTGAAGGATGAGGATGATAAAGATGTTGTGAGGTGGGATTGTTATGGTGTTAGATGCCTGGAGCAGTTTGTAAAGAATTTTATAAATCATAAGTTTAAAGGATGTACTTTTATCGCTCACAACTCCAAAGGTTATGACGGGTACCTAGTACTGAAGCAGTTGATCCGTGAAAAGGTTAGGGTTCAGCTTATAAGTCGGGGGGGAAACTTTTGTGTATCACCCTGCCAGATTATAAGATCCGGTTTATTGATAGCCTCTCATTTTTGCCCCTTAAATTAAGCAAATTACCCAAAGCTATGGGGTTTCAAGGCAGCAAAGGACAAATTACTTGATTCAACATATGGAGGCCTGCACAACCATACTAAGATTAAAAAGAGTACCTCAGGGACCAGGGTTATGCTGTGTGCTGCATCTGGGAACACGAATGGAGGGCCATGGTGGAGGATGACACCTCTTTGAAGCAGTTTCTAGTTAAGAATAAGCTCCCAACTCCTTTGAATCCTTGAGATGCTTTTTTTTGGTGGTAGAACAAATGCTACATGCCTGTACTACAAACCAAAACCCAGTGAAAAAATCTTATACTATGATTTCACCAGTTTGTACCCGTTTGTGAATAAGACCAAGGAGTACCCAATTGGCCATCCGCAAATCATCTACCAAAACTTTGGGGACATAAAGCAATATTTTGGGTTGGCCAAAGTCAAAGTGTACCCACCAAGGAATCTCTATTTCCCAATCCTATCCCACAAATCAGGGGGCAAATTAATGTTTAGTTTGTGTGCAACCTGCACAGAAAAACTGCAAACCACCCCTTGTAAAAACAGTGATGAGGAAAGAGCTCTGACAGGGACATGGTGTACCATTGAATTGAATGTAGCTTTAGAAAAAGGTTACAGAATTGTTGAAATCTATGAGATCTGGCATTTTGAAAGAACATCAAATGAGCTATTTTCAGGTTATATGAACACGCATCTCAGACAGAAACAGAAGGCCAGTGGTTACCCTGACTGGTGCAAAAGAGAACAGGATGAAGAGCAATATATTCAGGATTATGAAAAGATGGAAGGTGTCCACTTACGACGTGACCACATTGAAGTAAATCCTGCTAAAAGACAGATTGCCAAGCTGTTTTTAAATTCGCTGTGAAGCAAGTTTGGTCAGAGCACCAATCACCTAACCACATCCGTGATGATAAAACCTGAGGATTTATTCAAATACCTTTTTGTGCCCTATTATGATGTTTCTTCATGTGAGTTTGTGGATAAAGAGACAGCCGTTGTGACATGGAAAACAGCCAAGAACCACCCCACCAAATCCACATGCACTAATGTATTTATCACCAGCTTTATTACTGCTTATGCCCGGCTGGAATTATATAGGCTACTGGATGGGCTGGGTAATAGGTGCCTGTACCATGACACTGATTCAGTCATTTTTGTAAGTAGAGAGGGGGCGTGGACACTTCCTTTGGGTGATTATTTAGGACAGCTGACAAGTGAGATTCCACCAAACACTATGATAACAGAGTTTGTTGTGCTGGTCTCAAAACGTATGCTTATGCTTTGTCCAACGGTGAAATGGTGCTAAAAGAGAAGGGAATCACGCTAAACTGTGGTAATAGCAACAAGGTTAATTTTGACAGCTTGAAAGATTTGGTAGATGATTATTGTGTGTCTGGTGAAGAGAGAAAAAAGGAGATCAAGGTAGAACAGTTGGGGATTGTTAGGGTTAAGAAACATTGGACCCTAGAAATGCAGGTCCTCCGAAAAACTCTAAAAGTAGTGTATAATAAAAGGTTATTAAAGAGTGAGGATTACTGTAAGATGCCTTACAGTTATTAAGGATGGCGGAAAACATTGCACAATTTGTACACCCTTTCTCCTGTATTATAAGCGGGCCATCCAATTCTGGCAAATATTTTTTTATCAAACAAATGTTAGAACATGGTGATGTTGTGTTGTCTCAAATGCCTCAAAATATTCTATGGTTTTATAGTTGTTGGCAACCTCTGTACAAAGAACTGTTTAATAAAATCCCTTATATTAAGTTTATGGAGGGGCTTCCGTCTTCTTTTGAAGATGATGATTTGTTTCTGCCAAATCAAATCACTCTAGCTGTGATAGATGATCTCATGGCATCGGCCGGTGACAGCGATCAAATAGAGAAGGCTTTTATACAGTACGTCCATCACAGAAACCTGAGCATTATTCTCATACTACAAAACCTGTTCTTTCAAGGTAAGAAAATGAGAACAATAGCTCTGAATTTCAAATATTTGGTTTTGTTTAGCAGCCCCCATGATCAAATGCAAATTGTCACACTGGCCAGGCAGATGTATCCCACTAACACAAAGTATTTTTTAGAAGTATTCCAAGATGCCACTCGCAAACCACATGGCTACCTTTTGGTAGATTTGGCAGCCACCACTCCAGAATCCTACAGGTTGAGAACAGGCCTCTTCCTGCCTGATTGGCCTACTGTTTACACAATGAAAAAGAAGTGTAAATAGCAGTAGCTCAGTTACCCTAGCATTAGTTCATTTAAGATGTCAGAGAGGGTACGTAGAAATTGGGTTTTTTTTAAAAATCTTAGTAAAGGCCGGACCAAGACAGAGAAAAGCCATCTTATGCAATGCTAACAATGACCTGGTGGGGGCAATAGCAGAAATAGCTCTGAACACCCTAAAATGAAACCTTCCTCTGAAACCTTCACAATTCCGGTCTCTAAAGAGAAAGAAAGGTGTCATTAAAAAGTTGAGTGATAGAAAGGTCTCACTCAAAAAGAAGAAGAAGATCATACTTCAGTCGGGTGGTTTTATCGGGCCCTTACTAGGGACAGCTATTCCGCTGTTGACTAGCCTGTTAGCTGGATAAACCATGGATCATGCCGAGAAAATGTACCTGGTGTTGCGTCATCAAATGGAGCAACTACAGGGTAGGCCACCTACTATGGGGGCTATACCCACTAACCGGTTGGATCATGAGATGCGTACCATTCTTCAGAGAGCTGATTTGTCTGAGGATGACAAGATTAAGCTCTACAATTCTGTACTACAGAGGTATCTAAGACTGACCAGGCAAAATGAATCTGAAAAGGACAGACTGAATCTCATTTATCCACCGGAAGTGCCTCGACCACTTCCAACTTTACCAGAACAGCCGCCACAGTCATTTCCGCAGGACACAGAGATGGATGAGATCCTAAGGGGTGTGAGCACCCGTTACAGGAAAAATGCAGAACTTTTGCTGAACAAAATGAAACAGCATCAGGACGTCTCAACCTGGGATGATCGTGGTACCTTTTTATACAAAGGGGTCCCTATTCCTGGTACTAATATTTTAGACTTGGTAAAAGGAGCCTCACAACACTGAGCTCCTACTGAGAAGCGGAAACCTAAAGGCTGGGATGACTTTATGAATGCTATGGCTGAGGTGAATGTTCCAACCTCTGTGCTGGGATCTACAACTGTTAAAGAGCAAATAGAAAAGTTGAAAGATTCTCTGGTTGTTAAGGATGAAACTGCTACTAACCCCGTCTCTGTTATGACACACCCTTTTGGGACTCAGAAGCCTCTGATTACCGGTATCCTCTCTAGCCCTTGGACATTAAATCCTAGAAGTAGGTTCAAGTTTGGTGACTGGCTCAATTTGTAAAATGAATAAAAACACAGTGAAACAAGTAAAAACGTTTAAGTCTTTTTCTTTATTTTACAATAAGGCATGTATGTCTGCATGCATTGGTGACGGTTACAGGTTCCAAGCCCCCTTCCCACCTTTATAGTTTTTACAAACAGCTTGATCATTTTTAATATTGGCATTGGACTACATCTTTAAAATATTTTCATAGTCCATTCCTTTAGTCCGGTTCAGTAGAAAAAATGCACAGTGTTGCCCGCAGGTCACAGCACTGGGGTGTTGCAGTTGACATTGGTGAAATGTGTACTTCTCAGCTTCCTGCTCTAAAAACATCACTATAGAGCCAGGAAAGTCAGGGCTATCCGGCGGTCTTCCATAAGAATCAAAA